GGATTTCTTGGGTGTGGAAATGACTAAAGATCTCACTAATGGATTCAAAGACTGTTCCAAAGTATTGATGGAGTCAGGTCATGAAGGCCTGGGGGCCACGCTATTCCTCTATGGCAGAACCTTCACACCCTTTAAATGGAGTGCCTTTATCAGTTTTTTAAAAAATATTTTGGGTGCCCCTTCCCAAATATATGGATATTTATTTGCTTATAAACTATACTAGAGGCCCTGTGTATGAATTCATGCATGGGTGGGGTCCCTTGGACTGGCTGGTGATCGGAGCCAATCAGGGCCACCTCACCCAGTCCCAATTGGGGCCAATCAGGGCCAGCCAGGGAGAGGGGCCGAGGGAGGTTGGCTGTGGGAGCACACTGACCACCAGGGGGCAGCTCCTGCATTGAGCGTCTTCCCCCTGGTAGTCAGTGTGTGTCATAGCGACCAGCCAGTCATTTGGTCGTCCAGTCATCCAGTCGTAAGGGTCACTTAAGCTTTTATATATATAGATAGCACTCAGATATTATTACATAGTACGATATATAAGTTATATAGTGCGAGTATATTATAAACATTATAAATACACAAACAAAATTTTCCAAGGTGATGTCTTAGTCTGTGCTGATATACTAGAGGCCCATTGCATGAAGAGATTCGTGCAATAGGCCTTCCCTTCCCCTGGCTGCCAGCACCAATTTTCTGCCAGCACCCAGGACCCAGGCCTTCGCTCTGGCCGGAGCCTTCAGTCTTTGCTCAGCTGCTTTGCGCCTACGTATGCAAATTAACCGCCATCTTTGTTGAGTTAATTTGCATACTCTCCTGATTGGCTGGTGAGCGTAGCAGAGGGACTGTCAATTTACATGTTTGTCTATTATTAGGTAAGATACCATAGACTGTGTGGCTTACAAACAACAGAAATGTATTTCTCACAGTTCTGCAGGCTGGGAAGTCCAAGATCAAGGCACCAGCCGATTTGATGTCTGATGAAGGCCTCATAAATGATCATGTTCTCATTGTAACCTCCATGGAGGACAGAGCAAGGGATCTCTCTGGGGTCCCTTTTATAAGGGCACTAATACCATTCATGAGGGCTTTGCCCTCATGACCTTCTTACCTCCCAAGGTCCCCACTTCCAAATACCATCACCTTGGGGGTTAGGATTCAACACACGAATTTTGGAGGAGACACTAAATGGCTCTAACATATAATATAAGGAAAATCTGAAAGATCTATTATTTTCTTCTTATATCCCAGTAGACCTCTCAAGCACCACTCTGAGGCAATGGTTCTCAAACTTCAGGGAACTAAGAACAATTTGGAGGACTTGTTTACAACGAAGGTTCTCCAGGCCCCACCCTTAGAAGTTTTGATTCAGTTGTTCTTGGAATAGGCCCATAACTCCCCCTTTTCCTGATCTATTAGCTGACTCCGACTCCAACGTGCAGTTAGATTTTTGAATGACTGGTCCAGATCCTTCTGTTTTCCTAACCTTTTCATTTTCTGCTAGAATTTGAACTGTGGCCCTGCTGTTATCTACCTCCTGGACACCCTCTTGGTCCCAAGAGTGAATTAAGAACAATAAAAATAATAATTATAGCTGACATTTTTTATTTTCTTCTTGCCAGAATTGCTAAGGGCTTTACCTCTTTAAGTTACCGCCTTTACTCCGATCAGGTAGGTATTATTAGTCCCATTATACAGATAGAGAAAAGTCAAGTTCAGAGCATGAATGTCTTGCCCTAGGTCAGTGGTCAGCAAACTGCGGCTCGCGAGCCACATGCGGCTCTTTGGCCCTTTGAGTGTGGCTCTTCCACAAAATACCATGTGCGGGCGCACATGTACAGTGCGATTGAAACTTTGTGGCCCATGCGCAGAAGTCAGTATTTTGTGGAAGAGCCACACTCAAGGGGCCAAAGAGCCACATGTGGCTCGCGAGCCACAGTTTGCCGACCACTGCCCTAGGTCACCCAGTTAGTAAGTGATAGGTCAGGGATTTGAACCTAGATCTGTCTGATTTCAAAATCTGGACTCTTGACTCCTAAGCATATTTACTCTAAAATAAGGCACTATAATTTATTGAACTTCTACTGTGAACCAAGCATTTGGCTGGACACGTCACATACAAATCTCGAGTTCTCAGGACATACTTGTGTTTATAGAGGTGTGAATCTCAGTCCACGAATTCTGCTGTGCAAGAAATGTCTTTATTTTCTTTAACCCATCTGAATTACGAGTCCAAACTTATTTTTCAGACTTTCCTGGATCCCTTCTCCCGACCCCCACCCAGCTATGCTGTAGTTCTGGATCAGACACACTATCCAGGCCTGGTTGGGAGTGAGCACCTCATCTTTTGTCATCAGTCCACACAGGTGGCCACTGAGGGGCCAGTCCTGCCCATTTACATGACCTGTTGGCACCGGAGGTTCACTACTGCTCCCACCCCATGCCAAGCACAGGGACATCTTTTGCCAGGCTGCCAGCGCACACACAGCCATTTCCTCCCTGGGTTCTTACCACCTCTAGCAGAGTCCCTAGGAAGCAAGGACTGTCCCTCTGCCCTCATGGACAATTTCTCCCTCCCCCTCCCACTTGCAAAGCCCAAGAGACTCTCTTTCTAGTGATGGGAAGGTAGGTGAGAGTGTTCCTTATTCCTTCACATTTCTTTAACACATGTTAGCCACTTGCTTGCCTTTGTTGGTTCAATTCCCTTGCCCTAGGTTCTAAGTTTTGGGAAGACAAAATATGTGTAGACTTCTCTCTACTTTGCCCTTCTTAAGTGGGAGGGAGAGCAAGGGGGAGATGGGAGAAAAATAATATTAAGTTGATATCTCAAAATATTGTTTCCAGCTCATGTTATCCCATTTTACAGGTGAGGGGAAGGACCTCATTGAGGTTACATAGCATTTTGCACAGCTAGTAAACAGTAGACCAGTGGTTCTCAACCTTCTGGCCCTTTAAATACAGTTCCTCATGTTGTGACCCAACCATAAAATTATTTTCGTTGCTACTTCATAACTGTAATGTTGCTACTGTTATGAATCGTCATGTAAATATCTGATATGCAGGATGGTCTTAGGCGACCCCTGTGAAAGGGGTCGTTCGACCGCCAAAGGGGTCGTGACCCACAGGTCGAGAACCGCTGCAGTAGACCCAGGATCTTTGGAGGCACTTGGTTGTACCGCGTCTTAGTAGGTTCATCTGCAGAGCAGGGTGGGGGGTCCTGGCAGTACCCAGAGGACATGAGATGGCGGTGGGCCAGGGAAGAAGCCAACGTGCCTAGTCAGCTGGTTTTAGGTTCCAACGTTCTGGGAAATAGACGTAAAATGGAACCTTCAGATCGTGCTTAAGGGGCAGAGTAGGACTGGGCAAGCTAGGGAGCCAGGGCAGAAACTTGAGTGGGTGATCCCCATGCTGCAGCCTCTGGAAGGAGGTGCAGCCATAGGACAGCACTGTGATAGGCTCTGGCCTTGGGCCGATCTGTCCAAACCTGCTGGTGGCTTCAGACATCCTGTCTGTCAGCTTTGGGTGGGCAATGATCACCAAGTTATCTAACTGTCTACCCATTTGGGTGTCTCAGAGACACATCAAACTCCACAAGGTCAAAACTGAATTCCTAGTCTTCCCCCAAAACCTGCTCCATTCACAGCCTTCCCCATCTCAGCTGATATCAACCCCATTGTCCCATTGCTCAAGCCCGATTCCTTGAAATCATCCTCAACTTTTCTCATTCTCTCACATCCCACATCCCAATGGCCAGGAAACCCTTTTGCATTTACCTTCAACGTATGTCCAGCATCCACCCACCACTCCCCCATTCCACTGCTACCGTGCTGAGTCAAGCCACCATCATCTCTTGCTGGACCACGGCAATAGCCACCTAACAGATCTCCCCACTTGCTCCCTTGCTAATAATCTGTTTCTAGCCTTGCGAACCAGAATGACCTTTTAAAAATATAATACAAATCATGCCAGGCTTCTGCTCAGAATGGTTGCCCATGTTTCATAGAGGAAAAGCCAAAGTCCTTTTAATGACATTTCCCTAACCGCTAGTCTCCTTGCTGTTCCTGGGACATACCAAGCATGTTCCTACCTCAGGGCCTTTGTACTGGACGCACTGACTGTCCTGGCTGCCTCGGCTCTCCTCTCCTGCAGAGGTAGCTCACTGAAACTTTTTCTTCAAGTTCAACTTGCAAACAAGGCTCACCCTGACCATTCTATTTAAAATCACTACCTTCTCCCACCCCCTTAACTCTGCTATACTTTTTCTTTTTCCATAGTTCTTATTGCATTCTACATACACATCTTATTTATTGTGTCTGTTGTGTATTATTTGACTCCTTACAACCCCAAGTGTGTATCAGCTTCACAAGGATTGGAATCATGGTCTGTTTTGTTGGCTTGAATATCCCAAATGTCCGAATAGTGCCTGGTATACAGGAGGTATGCAAAAAAAAAAAAAAAAAAAAAAAAAAAAAAAGTTGAACAAATGAATAAAGTTAAAATAAAACTAGAGAGTCAAGGAATATTATAAGAGTCATACACAGTAGCATTTTCCCAGCCTGATTTTGCCTAGTGGCCTCACTTCTTAGTCCTCTACACCGTTGGCGTGTTAATTAACACAGAGGAGTGAAGATTGTGTTTCTTCTAAGGTCATCTCTCCATGGGGTCCCAGCAAAGACATCCAGGAAGGCCTCTTTGCTTCTTCGTTCACTGAGGTTAGAGGTTTCCTGTCCCTTTCAGTTCTGGAAACATTGCCCCACCGCTCTGGCCACAGGCACCAGCAAGTTTGCTCAACTCAACCAAACACAGATCCTCTGGGAGCTCTCTGCATAGCAAAGCCCTTTGCTTTTTCTTTGGGCTTAACCTGCAATTTAAAACATCACTGCCATGAGCCTGCAACCCCTTTGCAGTCCTGTCGGGGAACTTGGGCAACCGTCACCTGCCCTGACCTCTGACAGGGTTTCCCAACGCACACATTAACCTTACATTGATTAGTTTGGAACTGTGGCCTTGGCCTAAGAAGGTAAGAGTGCGTGGCAAGATGTTTTATTTTCAACATGTATCAGGATAAAAAAACACTTTTGTAAATCAACCTTTTTTTTGTATTAAATATACGTAGATTTGGGGTTGGGGGTAGCAAGGACTGTCTGAACACTAGATAATGTGTTTAAAGGTTAATTATTAACGGGCAGCCTTTCCTAACAAAGTATCAATAGGCAATCTGGTCTCTTCAGCTTCAGAAATTAGCACGAAGACCTCGACCCCGGGCGATTCAGGAGAAATGGGAAGTCCCCTGTGTGTCTCCATTTTCTTGCTTTTGAGCATCTTTATCCAATCAAGTGCCCATGGACAAAGCCTTGAACTAGGTAAGAGCCTGCCTTTTCTCTGGAGATGGGCATGGATTTATTTTTTTTTAAATGTATGTCACAAAGTGTCCACGTGTTCTTGACTGTGTGGGACAGAGCTGGCTGCAAAGCATACCCGGCGGTTCTGTTCGTGGCATGACAGGTCACAGGGACATGTCGTTTCCTTGTAACAACGGGCATTTTAGGAAACCACTGGTAGTAGACATCTTGTAAAAGCACTTGCAGCTGGCAGTGAAGTCTCTTGCTCATCTGGTTCAGAAAGGGTCATCTCTCGCGGAGAACAATCCGAAAGAATTCCCGATCTTTCTGAGCGTTCATTCGGCATCTGATTTGCAATTGGGAAGCACAGCTTGCAGGGAAATGCTCCGTCTTGCTGAGGTTGTCTCAGCACGAGCTCTCTCAGACAAGAAAGGAATGTGTAGAGTCCTGCTTCCAGTCAGGTCTAACGCACAGATACCATTGCACATTCTCTAGACTTCATTGTTCCTGCCCAAGGTTTACTCTGAGTCTGGGGAATCCACCAGCAATCATGCCTGTCAGGTCTGTGAATTCACAAACTAGACTGATGGCCAAAGGGATCCAAATGCTTCATCAGGTGGGTCCCAGGTTCCTGGCTGAACAGTGCACAGGATCAATAAACGATAGATTCGAAGCAAATCGAACAATGTGGCCAGATAAGCCTGGCCTGTGGGACTTTGTTTTTGTGCTGGTTACTGGTGAGAGACTGGTAATGCTAAGGTAGAGGCTTAGATGTTTTCTTTCCTCAAAGACTATGCTGGAAGGAGGCTCCAAAAAACACGGAGAATCAGGAATTTACTAACCTGATTCAGGAATCAGAATGTACCTGAAAATTCCAGAACCCTTATTTCTCCTTTAAGAAGTAGGACTGTTCTTTGTATTTAATTATGATTCTGAACCTTAGGTCAGTTGATAACTTAATATTACTTATTACTGTCCACTGAGCATTTCATGTGCCAGCCACTAATGCTAATTATTTTGCATACACATCCAATTTACAAAGCCATGTTCTAAAATGATAGTAATCATTTAGAGCCATGCAGGCCAAATTGCTGATGATCTTTATTCCCTGGGTTTGCAGGGTTTTGCTGAAGGGGCTGTCCTGAACTTTGGTTTAGAATGTTGTTTTGTTTGTTTGCTGTTTATTAAAGTACTAGAAGCCCGATGCACGAATTCATGCACTGGTGGGGTCCAGCCAGCCCACTCTGATGGAGGCCCCTGATTGGGGGGAGGAACGCTGGGGGGCAGGGCCAGCTGGGGCGAGGGGCCGTGGTTGTTCAGGTCGTTCTGCCATTCAGTCGCTGGGCTTTTATTATATAGGATGACACCCACATATAGGAAAGTGCCTATGTCATAAAGTGCTTAATACATTTTCGAAATCCAAATCTGCATCCCAGAAGCCTCTCCTGTGCAGCCCTGGAGCCTTCACATAGATTATTTTGCCTTTTGTGGAACTTTTTGTTGATGGGCACATACAGTATGTGCTCTTTTGCTTCTGGCTTCTTTCACCAACATTATGTTGGTGACCTTCGTCCCTGCAGCTGTGTGTGTGCTGGTGACTCGTTCCTCTGGCGCTGTTGCATTCCATGGTGTGAAACGCCACTCCGTCTGTCTATTCTGCTGTCGATTGGCCCAGACTGATTTTCAGAGGAGACATGGGGGCTGGAAGCCGTCAGTGTCCGAGGTGGAGGGGGAAGGGCAGGTCTGCCTCCCTGGGCTGCAGGGTTCTGTCCACACGTCACTCTCAACAAAGCCCAAGCTGGTCAGCTGCTGCTTTCCCGGGACCTGGTTTGTCTAAAAGCTGAGGGAGCCCGGCCAGTGCGTCTCAGTGGTTGAGCATTGACCTATGAACCAGGAGGTCACAGTTCAATTCCCAGCCAGGGCACATGCCCGGGTTGCGACCTCGAGCTCCAGTGTGGGGCATGCAGGAGGCAGCCCACCAATGATTCTCTCTCATCATTGATGTTTCTATCTTGCTCCCTCCCCCTTCTTCTCTGTAATGAATAAAAATATTTTTTAAAATTAAAATAAAATAAAAGTTGAGGGCAGTGGCCACAGTTAGCAGGAGGGGTCCTCAGGAAAAAGGACTGGAGTCAGGAGGCCTCTTGTTCCCTTGAGAGCAGACTCTCTTGGCAGAATTCTGTCTGCGAGGAGAGAGCCAGATCTGCGTGCATGAGGCTGGTGTGTACCTTCTTGGGTACTGCTGGGGAGCAAGCATCCCTTGTCAATGAGGATCTATTATGGTGGCAAAGCCACCCCCAGGGAACACTGGGCAATGTCCACAGACATTTTTGGTTGTCACAACTGGGGAGAGAGTGCTATCGTCATGTAGAGATGAGAGGCCAGGGATGCTGCTAAACATCCTGCCATGCACACCACAGCCCCACAACGACAAATTATCCAGGTAAAATGTCTTTGGTGCCAAGGTGGCGAAACCCTGGTCCACACCAAGCTTCAACTGTCACTAGTCATGGGCCAGAAAGAACTCCCTGGAGGACCCTATAACCCCACCCCTCCATTGATTATTAATGACGTTACTAATGGACCCACTAATGCAGCCAGAGCTGCACAAATGTCTACCCCCCACCGCGCGGTCACCTAAGCCGGCAGTGGAGCAGCGTGGTCCATGGCCGTTGGGCAGAGCAGGGAGAGGCATCTAGAGGTCAATCTGTCTGATCCAGGCTGCAGGCCTCTCTCTCTATTGTGCTCACGCCCGGTGATGTGACTGCCAGGGTCCCTAGGAAACCATTCTGCTCAATCCCTCTCCCCAGAGGTGACAGCCAGGGTCCCTAGGAAACCATTCTGCTCAATCCCTCTCCCCGGAGGCAGGTTCGGACAGTCTTTCCTGCCTGCCAGCACTAAGGGCCACAGGATGTGGGGAACCGCCTGGAGCCCCCAGGACACAGAGCTACCAGGACCCTCATCCTCAGGCCCAGGCCCAGCCCACTGGTGTTGCCATCACTGCCTCAAATGGAAGCTGCTCCTATGTCCCCACAGCCCCCACCTTCCAGCTACTCACCCCTACTGCCTGCAGGTGTCTGCCCCTCCCTCCAATTCCAGCGGCAGCTTCAAATCCTAGAAGCAGCTGAAGCCCATTTACTCAGTCGCCCATTTGATTAACAGGCACGCGCAAGCATCTACCACATGCAAGGCTGGGCAGTGTGGATCGGTTCTCAGACTTTCTGGTCTCTGGGCACCATTACATCCGTAAGAACTATTTAGAACTCCAGAGAGCTTCTTTATATGGACTAGGCCAGTGATGGCGAACCTTTTGAGCTTGGCATGTCAGCATTTTGAAAAACCCTAACTTAACTCTGGTGCTGTGTCACATATAGAAATTTTTTGCTATTTGCAACCACAGTAAAACAAAGACTTATATTTTTGATATTTATTTTATATATTTAAATGCCATTTAACAAAGAAAAATCAACCAAAAAAATGAGTTCGCGTGTCACCTCTGACACACGTGTCATAGGTTCGCCATCACTGGACTAGGCTATCAATATTCACCATAAGAGAGACTAAAGTGGAGACATTTTTACATTTTAATGCTTTTAAAAATAACAAATTAATCACATTAACCTGTATAACATGATGTTATGAGAAATAACTTGTACTTTCCGGACAATAACAAAGTGAATCAAAAGAATGATACTTTTTACCAAGAAATTTCTTGAATGTCTGGCTTAATGGAAGACAGCTAAATTCTTCCGTCCGTTTCTGTATCCAATCTGTTGTGACGTGTTGCTTTGACGTGCATGAGTGAAATCAGCCCCATAGGTAGGAAAAGGGAGGACAACCTCAGAGACGTGCTGGGGTCTCGCCCACACTCAGACCCCACACTCAGAACCGCGGTGCTCACGCGGAGGACGTCCATCAGTGCGTGCGCAGCCGCCCCTGCCCTCCAGGGCTCAGTGTCCAATCGGGGGGTGAAGATGGGAGCCATCTGCCCCGAAAACCGGCAACAAGGGGACCACCATCCATAAAGAATGTACATGCAATCATAGAACTTACTAAAGTTGATCTTCCTTTCATGATCACAGATCTAACTGATGTCAGTGATGGGAAGAAAGCTGCTCCCCTCCAAAATAGTTGTTTTGGTCAACATTATAAACAACTGCTCCGGTTACTGTTGAGTTTTATTAATCTATATGTAAACTTCAAATGAGCACATTTTCTTATCCTTTAATAAATATGATGTTCTCCGTCACCATTAATATAGAGAACTCCCAGGTAAGCAGTTGACCTCTGACACAGATTTGGTGACGTGTGCCCATTGCAAGAGGCCGGGTGGAGTGGCTCAGAGTCCTCCCAGCTCACCCAGGTCATCTCCTGCCTCCACTCTCTGGTCCTGACTGCGTGTTCCTGCGTTTAAACAAAGTGGAAAATGATAGCACAGCGATTGTAAAGACAAAGAAACAGAATCTAGAACTTCAATTCTGTTATCCTATGTGACACTTAGAGTCTGTGTGTTTAACATTTAAAACAGTAAAACAGATTTTACAGCAAACTGTGAGGTGTAATACTTTGTTTGGTAAGTAAAAATTTAGTTCTTACAGGAGGTACTTTTAATGCATTTGAGTATCTTTAAAATTGAAATGTATTCTTCTTTTTAAAAGTGTTCATTGCTCTAAAACTAAAGAACAAATCAAGAAAATAGTGATACTTAATGATTTTTGCATGAGTATTACTGAAAATAATTTTGTCGTATAGAGCAGAGGGATATTAAAATGATCCATTCTCAAATACATGCAGTATACCACTGAGTCTAATAAAGGAGATAAGATGTGAATATAAAATTTTCTCAACTAGAATATGGAATGTGTTGAGTATCACTAGAGAGGAGTGCAATGCACTAAGTGATTGTGTCCCCCAAAATTTATATATTGAAATCCTAACCCCCAATATGATGGTATTAGGAGGTGGACCCTTTGGCAGGTAATTTGGTCATGAGGGTGGAGCCCTCGTGAATGGCATTAGCA